ATAAGTGCTAATAAAAGTAATGACATTAAGTTCTTAGGCGTTATTTTTCTCATTAGGCAGTTCAACAAATGTCATTTTTGAATGGTCAGCTCCTGGCTGTTTATAAAATCCTAATATAACGAATATAGTCAGAAAACAATATGTGGCTGGCGAGTTTTCCGCAGGAGGCTGTGTGGTTTCGGAGGCTGCTGCAGGCTCTGTATGACTCCAACCTAGATTAAAGAAAATAAGCTTTGGATAGCATCAACAACATCATGTAATTCACTAGTTCTCCCATTTGTATGCTTGATTTAAGGAAGAGGTGTAAGTTAATTGCTGTCAATTACCCCTATGGGCTCCTCCTAAACTTTATTAAGAAAACGACATCTAAGTGTCTAATTTCATTTCCAATGACATTATTGGTTAATTCTACAAAAATGTAAGTTACAGTACTACCTACTTAATCATTTCTTTATTCACTTTAACAGACAACAATACCTTTCACAACAAATTCAAATAACACCTCCATCCTTCGGAGGCAGGTGGAGGCATTGCTGCTGACATTGCACCTTGGCATCATTACTTCGCAGGTCCAGTCCTTCTTTATTCCAGGCCGGGCTAGGAACAAGACGCCTCTGGCTCCAAGGGCCTGAAATGTTTCCAGCTTCCAACAAACCAAATATACATTATTTCAGAACAATTATGCCCTGGTTATTTACAAAGGCAAAACCAGTTGTTAAAAATAATCACATACACTGCTTGCACAAAGACTATTTTTTTATGCATGCATTAACAGTCTTAAGACTGTTGCGATCAGCAAGTAGAAGCTTTGAACATTATTCTGCATTGCATTTCTCATTTCTCTTGGCCGAATTTACACTGTATATATCATCTAGGTTTGTGGAGCAGCACTGTGGTTTATGAACAGTGCCATAGATTCTAAGTGGGATTAAGTTTAGAGCCATTCTACAACATAAACGTCGCAATTTTTGATCACCTGCAGTATTTTTTCTTGTGCTTGGGGTAATTGTACTACTAGAAGGTGAGTATTCACTTGGATGCCTTACAAGTATACTAGATGTTCTGCTGTTGCACACAGGCTCAATCACAGTACTGAGATAATATCTCTATCTCTAAAGTACATTGTGGAGTATTTATAGGGGTTCTATAAGATATAATTGATTATGGTATTCATAATTTGGTTTCCATTAATGTGTATAATCACCTATAACTATTTTTTGTTGTGATTAGCTTAGAATAAGCCCTTCATATATACATAGCGAGCCGGTCTATTTCACTCTCTTCTCTTTGCCGTGTTACTACAGTAATTCAATCGGAAGAAAAAAAACACTGGCTCTAGAGAAGGCCTTTCATGTTGTTATGGCAATGGATGGCCACTGTAGGTTTTTGTACACGCTTATAAAGGGAGAGGTACTCAGTTGGTTGCAATTTAGAAACCTCACTATTACACAGTGTACCTTTCAATTACATTGAATCAAATTCAGCGATGATTCGCCAAAGTTAAATAAACATAACTTATCCCTGTGTCTACAGTAGTTGTATTGACAGGGAGCAGACACACTGATGAAAATGTCTATTTCGAATGTAAGTTGAATTGGATAAATGATTAAATAGTGCAAATGTATTTAGCTGTGTTCTGACACAGTGCTTTAAAACTTGAATGTACATATAGTCACATTTTTTTTGGGGCACACAGTTCATGCAGGTCATGAAATTTGCATAATGTGCACCAGCTCAAAGCCCATTTCTACCTAGGGCTTTGAGCAGCAGATTTGTATTACGTAATTATGATCAGATATGGTCAGATATTACATTTCTGTATCAAATGTAAATATTTTTTCCAAATCCAGAATGAACAAGTACAGGGCTGTTATTAATTATGCATGCAGGCCAACAAAAAAAAAAGTCCATCACATACCACCAATGCAGCTTGATCCCTCAGGTGGGATGAAGTTTTATTCTTTTTTTGTGCCTGGACCCAGGTGTTTGCTTTCGTATCAAACTTGTCCATTCGTTTGCTAAGGCGCAGTTTGCGGGGCTGAACCGCCTTGCAGAATTTGCAAGTTTTGCATGCCACATTCAGTGACATGCAGTAGCTTGAGCAATGCCTCGAAGTGGAACCTGGTCCTGGCATTCTTTTGGAGATAAAGACAAATAAAAGACAAGGTCATTTAAAACTGGGTTTCAAATTCAGAATGCAATCAAATACAAATATTGACTAATGTCTAGTCCGTGACTGTAAGTCCCTCCCCAAGCTACAACAAAAATTGTATCCTGTTTAGAATAGAATAAAAACACTTGCATTTTTATTTAATTTGAGTAAATTAATTTAGTATCAATGCAATAATGGTCCCTTGCTTAGTTTTAGTACAATTTCAAAGCAAAGCTAAAATTCAGCGGTAAAATATTATGTCATCGAAACGTAAGGTTACACAACTTCTACTATCTTACAAGCTTGACCATGACATTGCACTGTAAAAGCACTATCTTGAATTTGACGAAAATATATGATAATGTTAATCTGTTGAAATCCTATATATAAAATTGTTTTTATAATATAATCTAGAATTATAGCAGTACTACAGTATAATACACTGCAAGAGGTTAGAAGTAGTGCAGTTCCTTGAGAATATGAGATAAAGGACATTGCCAGCTTTATGAGTTGGTGGGGATGGAGACAGTGAGAAAGCAAAGGTGGTTAACATAGATGTTAGTTTGTCTATCTTCCCTGTCTGGAGGTTGAAGTCTCCGAGAAGTACAGTGGGAGGGCCAGTTTCAGGGATGTGTGAGAGGAGATTATCTAACTCCTCCAAGAAGTCCCCCAAGGCGCCTGGTGGACGGTAGAGAACAACAATGGTTAATTGTATAGGATGGGTTACTGTGACGGCATGGTGGAAGGAGTGAAGTTAGGTAGCTTGAAGAGGGAAAAGCTCCAGTTGGGAGAGAGCAGGAGACCAGTGCCACCTCCTCTGCCAGAGGGTCTGGGTGTATGGGAGAAGGAATATGCTGTGGAGAGAGCTGCTGGGGTGGTTGTGTTGGATGGAGTAATCCAGGTCTCCGTGAGAGCAAGGAAATCCAGGGACTGCAGGGAAGCGTAGCCAGAGATGAAGTCAGCCTTAGGAACAGCTGACTGGCAGTTCCACAGGCCCCCTGAAACGAGATGTTGGATCTCAGTGGAGCATGTGGGATAGACGAGAGCAGGCCGGTTAAATCGATTAGGAGATACACGGGGCCAGTGATGATTGCGAGAGGACACATGAACAGGAATGGAGAAAATACACATGATTATAGCATGAGGGGCTAGAGAACCAAAGAGAATTGAATAAAACAAAAGAAAACTCCAGCGATACTTAGCTCAATCAAAGTAGGATTTGCCTCCTCTTTGCCTCCCTCGTAACTCCAACAGGACTCCAATGTCTTTGTCAGTCTTCGTCAATGCTTTGTCATCTTCGACTGGCTGACGCTCCAGGAAAGAGCAATCTAAGATGGACACCTGATTGCTCAGTTCTCACAGCTGTGGGGGCACGCCCCTCTAATTAGTTAACTATTTTCAGCTGATGGGCGACAGCAGAGTCTTCCTGTCCTATTGTAATG